GCGTAAAACGACTGCGGGAGGGAGGGAGGGGGCGTCTCACATCCTCAGTAGCCATATTTCATTGCTAATGGTTTTGGTGTGTGATTATGATGGATAAACCTGCCCGTGTTTCTTTAGGCATTCCAGAGAATCTCAAAGTTTACAATGGCGCAAGATTTGTCAGAAATCTGGAGCCTTTATTGAACATGAATCAGGGAAGTCTAGTTCATGTTCACGTACATAATATCTGACATTATACCATAAACATTCCGTGTTGTGTTTTACCCTCCATCGTGTAAACACCCAGAGATTCTTGCAAACATCATGAACATGTTTGAAACAACAAGCAGTTGATATGTTTCGGATGTTTGGTTGCGATGATGGAGAATGCATTTATAGATAAAGCCGGGTACTCAGGTACTTGTCAGGTAATCAAACTATGACATACATGTTCATGTATACTGTCTAGCATTTTAGTAGGATATGTTGATTGTTTAGAGCATAAGAATTAAAGTATACTGTGATATTTTGGAATCATAAAAAATGATGAAAAATTGACGTTATGTTGCTGAAAAATCAGTGAACAGTGAAAAACACTGGACTCAGACATTGGTTTATGGGCCTGTACACTTGTGGCATAAACAGCTGGTCTAAACTTTAACTAATGATAATTATACATCATATTTAAACGCGCCTAATACTTTGTTTAAAGGCGCAGTAAATATTTATTCCCTGGTCATCGGTTCCAGGCTTACCCGCACACAATATACGCACATTCTCCACTCCCTTGTCATTTTCCGAATATGGAACCATTCCGAATGAAACCCTTTTCAAAGGAAATTGTTATTGTAACAATATTCTTCCTTACTTCCATACAAACTACAAACTAACCTCACGTGAACACAACTTTCTCTTTAATCGTGTGTATAAGAATTCTTGCGGATGTGAAGACCTACTAGGAAAACAATCAAGCTACCACACTCATTAGTTTAGAGAAGGAAGACACCGTAGATGCATAAATCATATTTACCAATCATAACATTCATTGCAGACATTAAACTTGGCAGGAGGAAGTCATAACATATAGATCATGTGTATGTTAGCTGTATCACAGGCACCCATTACATTCTTATTTAACATTAGTTATAGTCCACTGAAATGATCTGAATGCTAGAGTCGGAACATACTACATGGACTTGTATGCTAGAATGTTTATTCGCATTTGCGTGAAAGACTTAAAAAGTATGAAGGTAATTGTATACCTACTGACAATAACCATACAAGTGGGGATGGGGCACAATGGGGGCTGTAGATGGCTTCCTCCTTTGATACTTTGGACCTCAAATTTCAAATTTTGCTACCCGTTTGTGAATGTTGCTATTGTACCTCATGGGGTGCAAGCTGAATATTTATTTCTTAGTAATTACGGTAAACAATTATTGTTTGGTCTCGACTAGTGGACAAGGTGGCGACGTCGCCAGACCGTGGATCAAATGGTTCACGGTTCGAGTCCTATTACAGCACTAAATGTATTATGCCCCTCTCAACAGAAGGGTACCCGGTTTGCAGTAATATCTGCGGAGCCAGAGTAATATATGCACTTTTTAGGCGCCTTTAACGTCCTCTGGCAAGCCTGTGTTCAAATGTAATTTATTTGATTTGTATTATTATTATTATCGTTATTCTATGTTTATTATAACATGTATTCTCTTTAAATACGATTTTTTTTTTTAAATAAAGAAAAGCACTTGAATTTAGGGTTAAAGGAGTTCTTTCCTGAATTAAAAGTGAGAACATTTTCCTTGGTGTATACGTCTGCATGTTAGATGTAAAGAAACCCTCTGTTCCGTGGTGAACCAGGCGATCGGGGTGCCGTTTCAATTACCTCTAAACTCCAGACGACTTTTCCTTGATTACACATAATGTAAGAATATTGAAGCCGTTGCGTTCAATTGCAAAGTGCTGGGTGACATCACCAAGCAAGCATATGATCCTTCAGTGCCCATTTTGGGTTTTCTAATAGAGTTTTTATATCTTCCTCTTCTATTAAGTCCACTCCTGGCATTGCGTTTTATTGGGTCGAGTGGACAATAAAACCCACACTGATTTGGCTGTGTCCATTGGCATCATATCAACCTGTATGTGGATGTGACGCCAGTTCTGGAGGGGAATGGGTAGCTGTGAGGGTCAGTGGAAGTGGGAGGGAGAGGGAAAAGAGGGGGGGGGGTTACGAGGAGGGACAGGTGGACACGGGGAAAGGTTGAGGGAGAGGTGAGAAAGAGGTGAAGAGGGTAAGAGAGAGTGAGATGGGTAGGGGAGAGGAGTGAGAGGCAGAGAGAGAGAGGGAAGTGGGGGGGGGGGGGAGGAGGAGGAAGAATGGGAGAGGGTGACGGTGAGAGGGGGAGGGAGATGGGGAGTTGTAAAGGGAGGGACGGGTGGACATGGGAAAGAGTGAGGGAGAGGGGATAGCGGGAGGGATAGGGGAAGTGGTACAGAGAGAGAAACAGGTGGACCGAGTGAGAGAGAAGGGAAAAATAGAGGGATATGGGGTGAGGTGGGAGACAGGAGGGGGATGGAGAGGAAAGGGTTTGGAGAAAGGATCGAGAAGAGACGGAGAGAGGACGAAGAGGGGGTGGGTAGACACTGGGAAGGGGTGGATTTTGTAAAGGAGGCACGCACAAGTTTTTCCGTAGCAACTCGATCTACATGATCTATGAAAGTTCGTGACACGAGAGCAGTAACGCCTGGCCTCATTGCGACGTCACTTATGGCAAATGCAACCATCTTTCTGTAATACTGTAAATGAATCAGAAAAATTGATGGAGCATTTTCTTTGAGAGATGTGGAAGAAGGACAAGGATGAATGTATAATTCAAAGAACAATTTCTCTTCATAGCATAGTAATCCTTTAAATACTTGGAGGGGTAACGGACCACCAGAACAATAAGTTTGAAGTAATAAACAAGTAATTTTTAAGTATTCTGCTATCGGTATCCTTTTGTTTGTTTCGATTTGTCTTCATCTCGTGTTCCATATTACTCAATCATTGTCTTTTTCTTTTTTAGACAAACTGATTGGATATTTTCTTTGAGAGATATGGATCCCTTTTCCGGAAGGCGGGGACGGATGGATGTATTGTTCAAATAATGAAATCTCTTGTCTGTGTTGTTCACGATCAATCATTAAAATACTCGGAGTGGTAACGCACCACCGGAACAATATCTTAATCGGTTGTTTAGCAACAACTGAAGTAATAAATGAAACAATTTTCCGTTATCGATAACCTTTAGTTTTTAATTTCATTTTTTATTCCTCTCGGGTTCCATACCATTCAATCATCGTCTTCTTCTTCTTCTCCACTATTTAAAACAGAAATCCAGAAATGTTGCAGATTAAATTTTGGGGGCTTAGCAATTAGTTTTTCCATCACATTCGTGCTTTGTGGGGACATTCCCAAGGCCATTAAAAATGTTGCCCATTCTTTCTCGCCAATATAAACAATTCGAATGTGATTCCCCTGAGATCATATTCAGTTCCATTTCTAAATCACTTTAAGTTCATCTCACCTCCTCCTCTTTCTCCCACTCTCAATCTCTTCCTCTCCACCCCCCTCTCTCTCTCTCTCTCTCTCTCTCTTTATATTCTATGTGTCTTTCTCGCTCTCGCTCTAACTGCACCCCATTTCTCTTTCCTAATCAGTCTTGTTTTTAAACATATTGCTGGTGTAATAATCATGTTTTATTGCATTTTTGAACTCATGAAAAATAAGGACACATTGCTTACGTCTTTACTCTGAATCGAGCTCGTCTCATCTCATTGTTTGGTGTCATCCTAGGGATATTTTTAAACATGAATAACAAATCTATTGGCGATTTGATCGAAAACCGTTTCGAAACATTCTTCATAATCGAGATGAAGTTTCATTCATTTGAAATAAACCACTCATCAAACAAGATACATTAATGGATCGTCTTAAACTGTATTCAAAGATTGATGGAGACTTTCAATAACTGCAAACAAAAAATGGTATATAAATGAAACAGAAATTGAAGTATCGAATGATGAAAATTTACTAAGATAGATATAGGGAAAGAGAGAGAGAGAGAGAGACAGAGACAGAGAGAGAGAGAGAAAGAGAGAGAGAGAGAAAACCAGATTTTTCAACGAGCAAGATACATGTAAGGATATAGAGGGTTGGTCTAGGGTAAGAAAGAACATAAATGAAAGAAAAAACGGGGGGAAAAGTTCAGTAATGGCTGGTGAGATTAATGAGCACTGAGTGAAACAGAGCCATCATTGGAAGGATGTGGGACTCATATAAGATTTTAGATTCTTTAAGGGGTTGGGATAGAGAAAGAAAGAGAATGAGAGAGACAAACAGACAGACAGAGAGAGACAGAGAGAGAGAGGGAAGAGGGTGCACATGATTTGTCCGTCTACATATTATGCAACATTAAACAGGCGTGCGTTATTGCTTACATGTACGTGAGACAAAAACACATTCTACTGATACAGTGTACTCATATTGCCTAAATATTAAACTTTGATGTACATGTATTCATATTTTTCTTTGTTTTTGCTTTTTATACTATCTTTTCCTTTGACACATCTTCTTTTCCGCCTATCACATGTTTACCATCCTGTCTACCTGACTGGTATGGTGAGATGTGTTGGCCAATAACGTCGTCATGATCGTCTTTGTTCTATAATACCATACACAACTTCACCAACAACAATGACTATTAAAAGTACAATGTAATCTATTGGCATATTCATGATATAAATTCCTCTTCTCTCTATCACAGGTTCACCATCATGCCTCTCTTACTGGGATGTTGAGATATGTTTTGCACTTCAAAATCTACAACGTCACCAACAAAACATGATTATTAAAAATACAAGCGTGTAATTGGGTTTTTATAGACGTGTATCAATCCGATATGATTGTTTACGTCTGCATATGCATTTACATATTCATTTACATATTCATGATATGATTTTCTTTCCTCTCTCGATCACAGGTTCACTGTCATGCCTGCCTGACTGGGATGGTGAGATATGCTGGCCCTTGACGGTGGCCAGTCAGGAGGTGGAAATGGACTGCCCTGACAAACCATGGATAGATGCATCGAGTAAGTAGCATTCTTATCATGTGTATTACTGGCGGATCGGGAAGGGGGTGAGGGGGGACAAGGGGTACATGGGTGACAGCTTTTCCTCTCTTATAGCCATAATTTGCCGGGCTCACGATCAATTGGGCAAAAAGAATTTCCATTTTCGTTGTAACTTATTACAATTTGGAGTGGACTTTAATAGATTATTATTATTATAACAAATATATATATATTTCATAAACGGAGGACAACAATTTAACGACCGGGGGGGGGGGGGTGAGAACTGATGGCGAATCTTATTGAAACATTAAGTTGTTGACAGCATGATTGTCGAATTTTAATTGTTTACAATTAAGTATTTGGGTTCCAACAAAATGCGATATTTTTTGTTAAAGTCTAGTTGTGTATAATCACGCCATTTTTATTTTGTATAAATGAGCAAAAGGAAAAAGGAAATATCTGATCTGAATATCTGATTGATACACGTCTTTAACAACCCAATACACACATAGGAAAGAAGAAAAAAAAGAGCTACGATCTTTAGATGTTATTTGTAGAAGAAATTACGAAAATTAAGTATCATGTACTGCATACGTTAAACAAATTAAAAATTGAAACTAAAACAAACTTGTTAGTAATCATGATTATATGGTTCTCTCTCTAACTCCTCTCCCCCTTCCACTTTCTCTCTCCCTGTTGCTCAGAATCATTTTACAGGGCGTGTAACTCGAACGGAACATGGGCGGGGCCTGGTCATTATTCAGATTGCTTTCTTGATAGTCTCGTCACCAATCCCACATCATACCTTGCAAACGTCTCAGACGCACAACTAAAGGTAAAGTACATGTATGATTACGTAGTTACTATTAACTAACTAAACCAATATCCCATTGTTATGAGTGATATAATAGAACTGTTGTATACGATGAAGTATGCATGTGATTATATTAAAGAGGCGTTGAATGAATCGATGTAAGAGGTTGATTTAAAGAGGAAGCGTGATTTGAATGATATATCTAATGCTGGCCAATCAAATACCTAGATTATTTACATGTGCTTAAACAAAGCAAATGATAAAGTTAATCCATGACTGTGTTAGAAAAGGCAGCCCCTCCCCTGATAGACACCCCTACTTAGTTATGCACTTCCCTACCATCAGTCGCGAATTTGAAGGGGGGGGGGGGCAAAAAAGGCCCGTGAACCACTCCTCCTTTTCGGCCGAAAAGCCACATGAAAATGTTTAATTTTATTTTGATACGTATTATACGCGGTATGTTACTATACGGCGGCGTCTAGACGCGACAACTAATTACGAATCCCTATGGTATACCAGACAACCAGTCATTTGTAAAATCGCCCTTTAAAGATTTCTTTACACCATGCAATATTGTAAAGGTTTATCCAGCCAGGCGCGATATGAATCCTCTCACCCCTCACTGCCCGTACGGCATTGATGCATCATACCAAAGGCCGCAGATATATGTGTCTATTTTTATCCATATCTATGCTTCCCACCCGTGACTCACATCTTTATGGCTTAAATAGATCTTTTAAATGAGGAAGTAGGTCACGCGTTGCATTATTGGATACCTTGAAAGTGATCAATATAAATATGACAAAAGCGTATGTGTTAAAAGGAAGTAAAGCATGTGAGGTGTAATAAACCTTCTTGATAATGATTGCTTTTGTAGGGATACCACACAAAGTATGATTGATGGAAAGTTTCACCGGTGGAAACCAGAAAATGCAACATCACCTTTACAATGTTTGCTGCCTTTAAGCTTTTAAGTCTTAGCTATGATTCAAATCTAGTTCGTTCTTCAGACAAACGGACTAAACGCCTTTTAAAATAAACTAGATAAAGGGCAGATACAAGACTCAAACATCGATGCCTTGGATAACGGAATGACGCCGGACGTATTACTTTCAATAAAAGCAGATGTCTTGGGATTTTAGTTCCTGATCATACCAATCGTGTTAATACGCATTTGCATTATGTGGGCATAGGCCTACATGACGAATATTCTTTTAAATTTGTGCAAAACGTGTTTTACTTTGCACATGAATAGTGCAATCTATAAACGATGTTGAACACTCCTCTGATATTTCCATTGTTCAGAATGATTAATGCCGAAGCCGTTCTTTGTATTTACGAAAGCCTCAAGAAAAGATTATTAATAAATATTATTACATTTCAAAATTATATTACCATGCATTCGTGAGAGGCATTTGAGGTGAAGGGCTATCGCGTTAATTGCAAAGCGAAAAGTATCAGAATTTAAAAAGTTTACAATTCCCTCTTAATTCTCTCTCTCTCTCTCTATCTCTCTCTCTCTGTCCCTATGTCCCCTCTCTCTCTCTCTCTTTCCCTTTCTCCCTCTCTATCCATATATGAAGAGTTTCATTCCAAAAGGAGCTAAATCCACTTTGGGTACTTCTGAGTAAATCGCCTCATTTTATTTCTCCACTTTCCCTTCAGCCATGTACCTTCATGCTGTTATATATGTTAAAGGTGTCAACCTGGACCAATAATATTTGATTTAAAAAAATCTAGAAGTTTTTTCTGATTTTTTATTAATTTTTAGATTTTTATTTTTCGTGGATTTAGCTCCTTTTGGAATGAAACATGATGTTGTACCTTAAAATTTGTAAAATTTTAGAATATTTTCTCAATAAAGTCACTGAAATGTATTTGAATTCAGTAGAAAACCTTTCCTTTTAAATAATAACAGTGAAATCACATCTAAAAACACCTTTGGAAAAGAAAGTAAACAACGTATCACTGTTTCATTCCAAAAGGAGCTAAATCCGTTTCATTCCAAAAGGAGCTAAATCCATGTTTCATTCCAAAAGGAGCTAAATCCATAAATTTTAATAATTTAGTAAAAATCAGAAATAACTGGTATATTTTTTTCTTATCACATAGTATTGGTCCAGGGCGACACCTTTAACATAAATAACAACATGAAGGTACATGGCTGAAAGAAAAATGGAGAAACAAATAAGTTGATTTATCCAAAGTGGATTTAGCTCCTTTTGGAATGAAACCAATTTGGATTTAGCTCCTTTTGGAATGAAACATGATATTGTAACTTAAAAATTTCATACTTCCTGGTGAAATTTTAGAATGTGATATAGTGCATTTTGTTCCCATGTAGGAAACCATTATTTTAAGAAAAAAAACTCAGTTTTGGTAAAATATGGATTTAGCTCCTTTTGGAATCAAGCTCTTCATATCTCGATCCATCTCTCTCCTCCCCAGCACTATACGAGCACCTAATCCTATCCTTCTCATTATATTTTAAATTCCACTCCCTTTAATAATAATAATAATAATAGGCATTTCTATAGCGTCGTCTATCTAGAAATTCTATTCAGAGGCGCATTAGTTATTACCCTGGCTTTAGCCTAGCTGCCATTAAAGCGCTCCAGCATTTCAAGGAATTAATTCCTGCAAGGTAACCATTTACCTCACCTTGGTCTAGTGTGGCAAATGAAGATTAATGCCTTGTCAAAGGACATTAGTGCCGTATCGGGGATCGAACCACGACCTCTAAATTTAAGTCAAGAGCTTAAACCACTCGACTACGACACTTCTAAACACGCACACACACGCACACACACACGTACTCTCTCTCCCTCTCTCTCTCTCTCTCTCTCTCTTTCTCTCTATTATATATATTTCACTCTCCAATCCCCTCTTCTTCCTTTTGTCTATCATCTCTGCTTCTCATCCGCTCTTTCCCTCTTACTGTCTTCACATCTTCCGTAGATCACCCTTTGTGACCGTTTTAGAAACAAACCTATTTTTATTAATCCATACTTCCTACCGAACTCATATCTATATCCCCACCCTATAATATGTTGTTACGTCTAAAGTCGTCAAGATGTAACATTTGATTGAGGGAAAAACCCTTAATGGGATATATCATACATCTTTTGCAAACAATTCCCAATGAAAGAGTGATGGTCGAAGTCTATGCTCGGATTCCCTTGTAAACAAGGCAAAACAAAACATCGAAGTAGGCGGGAAAACCCATTCGCAAGTTCTCAATGGTTATTCACCTCTTGGAAAACAGGGCATTTAAAACAAAACAAATTCGTAATCCATACATCCTTCCCTACTCATATCTATATCCATACTCGATGCCGTGTTGTGTAACGTCTAAAGACGTAAAGACGTTACATTTGATCGAGGGAAAACACACAATGGGATATATCATACATCTCTGTCAAACAATTCCCAATGAAAGAGTGATTTCCAAAGTTTACGCTCGGATTTCCTCGTTAACGAAGCGAAAACAAATCATTGAAGTAGGCAGGAAAACCCATCGTCAATACCTCTATGGTTATTCACCTCTGGGAAAACAGGGCCGTTTTTAATAATCAAAAATGTTTTAGACAGTTCAATACAACTCTGTTTTCGACACTTGAGATTTCGATTGATAGCTTTGGGTCTTTTTGTTGATTGCTTGATATGGAGAACAAACGCCAGCTCAAGTTCTTTGAAGTGCAAGGTGTTTTTAAATAATTATAATTTTCAAATCACTGAGGATATGCTTGGTTTGCTTTTCTGTGGAATATCAAGATGAGTTGTTTTTTAGGTCATTTGGGAGTCCAAATTAAAGAGGAGGTTGATTTGTGGGAGAGACGTCAGTTACTTAACACTATATTTTGATGAATGTCCACTAAGAATTGCACTTCATATACCCCATATTCGAAATATTACAACAAATAAGCCCGGAGGCAAGTTGGGACTAAACTTTTATGTCGCGTTTATGTTTCGACCAGTGATTTCTGTGTGCAGTGCATGGGGTTTTCACAAGGACCGAATGTTCGTATCATGATGGTGGGCCCCTCCCAGGACCTTACTATAATATAAACGTAATGTATAACCAGCCTTTCTCAATTGTTTTCGATTGGTCTCTTACACAAGTCAAATGTTGACCGTACCAGAATTCAATTTCTCTTCAAGTACGAGGTGTCTTTGAATGATTACAATTGCCAATTCGCTGTAAGAGTGCTTTGTGTGTGTTGAATTGTACCTGTAGAATATCACATTGGCCTTGAAGGTGGTTGGGGACCGAATTCTCGGGAATTTCATGCATCGTTTATGACCGCTGTGGGAGTCGCGTAGCGTTCTAGGTGTCAAATACCTCTCAGAGCGGCGCCGCTGACGAAAAAGAAAATGCGTTAAAGATAAAGCTGAGGTCTGTTCACCCCTGTTCACCTCTGTGGAGGACTTCGTGGTCTATTCACTTGACTCTCAATCCCAGGGTTCAGGGTTTGAATCCCAGCCCGGTACTAATGTCCTTCGGCAAGCCATTTATGCACAGTTGCCACTCGCTACCCATGTGTGAATAGCAATTGCTGGGGTAGTAACATTTGCAGGGCCTTCAGGAAGACCTTCATTGATGGTTGATGTTTGGTGGTTGATGATCAGAAGGGCTTATGTTGTTAATAACAATACGAACAATAACAATGACCAAACAAATACTGATAATAATAATAATAAAAATAACAATAATCATAATAATCCTAATAATGAGATAACCAGGGAAAAAAATTAATATTTATTTTTCGGGGGCTACTTTTCAGTTTTCAAAGTTGCCCGAATGAAAATAACATTCTAAAATTTGTTTTGCATTGAACTCTATGCAAATTTAAGGGGGCTCTTTTCTGATTTTTGGGGGATCTTTTGGGCATTTCGGGGGCTATTTCGCCCTGAGCCCCCGTGTATTTTTTTCACTGGAGATAACATTCTTGAAGAAACTGTCTAGTCGAGGCAATTTGGAGAGTTCGATTATGAAGTCCACATTAATTGGTGTAAACCGT